TTCTTAACGACTTGCGAGAGGAAAGAAGAAACAAAATAATGCTCACTCCTTCTACGTTGAACAGAAAAACGTCATCTGCTGCAGTTGGTATGAATGCAAAAACCTTTGAAATGAGTACCTCGCCCTCACGTAGTCCTTCAATGACCTCAAGGATTACAACAACAACAACAACAACACAGCAACAGCAAAAACAAGAGAAACAATCAACAAAAACAGGGACAACAACAACAATTGTTGAGCCTGATACCACAGCTACTCCCCCGGTCGCACAAAAGAGTACGAGCCGGTTGCCTGCTGTTCCAAATATGAGTAGTAATGACTTGCGAGAGGGAAGTGAAGGCAAAGAGGTACCTGCTCCTTCTACATTGAAGAGGAAAACGTCATCAGCTGCAGTTGGTGTGAATGTAAATGGAGGAAATTCTGATAAAGAGGATCTTACTTCTCAAGCTTCTACGAATTTATTCCCTTTATGTGCGAAACCACCTGGTAAACCACAAGAATCACCTTCAAATTCTAGTTTCCTAAGGCATAATGGTCAAGTCACTTCTGCCTCTAATAAAAACAAAAACAGTAATAAGGGTCCTGCTCAGAGTTCTCTAGCATTGGCAATGCTGAGCCCGGCCCAAGATTCAGTCATCTCTCTGAAGATATCTGATAGGAAGTTAGAGAAAGAATCTGGAACCATTGCTGTAAATAAGCAAGATTCTTCAAAAAATGCAGAGAATGCTGTGAGCCCATCAGTTGCTGCATCGCCGAAAAAGAATAGTAGTAGACGACATCGTCAGAATGGACGTTCACGATCATCCTCTTCCTCTACTAGTAATTCTTCACTCTCCCAATGCAAAACTCCACGTGAGCAGACTAATGGGAATGAGATGTTTAATTTATACTATGATAACAATGATATAATGTATGGAACTGAAAAATTGAATGAAAAAGTTGTGTCGTCACCGAAAAATCGTTTACCCTTAATGACAAATATTACTAATGGAAACTCAGTTCAGGAAAACTCACCAGTTAGTGTAAATAAACCTTCGTTCGATGCTTTTGGTTTTTTAGACGAAGTTAGATCTAATTCTCTGCGAGGATCACCATCATCCATTCAAAATCAGGAGATTACATCTGTAGAAAATAATGAAATTTCCGTACTTGAGAAATATGTTCGTGAGGTTCAATTAGACCTTTCCTTTTCAACATTTAGACGTATTGGGGCCATTCTTGCTGCATCTCGAACTCTTCGAGTCATTAATTTAAAAGGTTGTACCATTGAAAATGAAGATTTGTATGGATTAGCTGAAATTCCAACTCTTCGAATACTTTGTGTTTCTCATATGCGTCAGTTAACGTCTTTACGTCCACTTGTTGTGAGAAAAAATGGTGTAACGGCTAACATTGAAGTTATTGATGCCCAATGTACATCCATTGGAAATGATGGAATTATCGGACTTGGGAAAATGCGTTCTTTGGAATGTCTTGATTTAAGTATGACCTCTATAACGGATGTAACCCCTCTTGCGGAAAGTGACTCCTTGATTGAACTCAATCTTACAGCAACTCGGGTCACGACGGAGGGAATTGCTGGTTTGGAGACTATGCCAAAGTTAAAAACACTTAATATCAGTCGTACTAAAGTAGTATCGCTACAAAGAATTTCCAAATCTACATCGTTAGAAAACTTAAAATTGTATTCATGTTGGGTACGGGATGCGGGTATGCGAGGGGTGGAGCGGATGCCGCAATTACGGCTTCTTGATGTTAGTACAACCAAAATAACAGATTTATCATTTTTGAGTGTCAGTAAATCATTAAGAAGTGTAACAGCCCAGTGGTTGGCTTTGCGAAACTGCAAGGATGTAGTGACGGAACGACGCTCAAGGAGAAATGACAGTGCTCCTATAGACTTCTTTGACGATGTCGATGATGAGGATGAGGATGAGGATGAAGAAGAAGATGATTATTATGAGGATGATGATTATGAAAATGATGTAGGAGAACAACAACATGAAAAGTATAAAAAGAAGAAAAGGAAGAATAATAATAATAACAAGGGTGATGGAGAAGGAAGTGTCAAACGGCAAAGATTATTGAACCGCAAGAATGATAATAACCCAAAAGGTGATCAAGAAGCAGGATTTTCAGGGTTAGCTAATATTCCAACATTAGAGTATGTAGATCTCTCGTATACCCTAATTCGAAGCGTACGATCACTATTTAAAAGTAAGTCTATTAAGACTTTGATACTTCGACGAACACGTGTAGATAGTGAGGGTATTAAAGGTATTCAACAACTACGTTCATTACAGACACTTATCATTACCAATATATCTGAACCTCCTAGTTTTGATGGTGTATATCCATTAACTCCATCAAGTGGTGTTCTTGTCTCTATAGCAGATATTGCCGGTATACTTAATATGGTTGTGCTTGATATGTCCTTTACAGATGTTTATGATCTTCGTATGTTATCTGCTTTAAAACATCTACGAGAATTATATCTTGTGGAAACACTTATTACAGTAGATGGAATACGTGGAATCGAACGACTTCCTTCATTACGAATATTAGATATCTCTCAAACAAGTGTTCTCTCTTTGCAATTTCTCTCTGCTGGATGTCCAGTATTAGAAAAAATTCTTGTCAAGTCAAACCGTAATGTACGTGGATTTCGTGTTGGTAATATACATATCCTTCCCTCACTTGAACTTCTTGATGTCAGTGATACGATTGTGGAAGATATTAAAATGTTATTTCGTCCTACTTGTCGATTAAAACAACTTATCTGGCGTTGGGGAGAACGTCGGGATGCCACAGGTCCTATTGATGCCTTATCATCTTGGGTGAAAACATCCATATTAGAAGGAATGGAATGTATGCCTCAACTAGAGTATTTAGATCTCACCAATACTGCCGTTTCCTCTGTTTCTTTTCTTGCCCAATCTAAATCATTAAAACGACTTATTTTAGCTCGTTGTAATGCGCTGGTAAATAAAGGTATTTTAGGTTTAGAGCTTATCTCCACATTGGAGTTGCTAGACCTCACCTATGCCTCCCAAATAACAGAAGTACGCTCCCTCTGTACATCCCCCTCTCTGTGTGAATTGCGGCTTGGTTGGACGGGATTAACATTAGAAGGCATGAAGGGAATATCGCAGATCCCAACACTAAAGGTATTAAACGTGATGTCTACACCAGCAGAGGAAGAAGAAGAGGAAAGGACAAAAATAGCGGTGAATGAAAAAAGGGCTGAAATGACAATGATGAATGGTTTTACTAGTCCGTTGGGTAGAAAACCTAATATGGTTGAAACTACAGAGATATTTAGCAATAATTCATCTGGACAGTTTAAAAGGCGAAGACTTCAACGTGTTTCATTCAAATTGTAAACAAATAAACAGTAAAGTAATGATATCTTCTGTAGAGATAAGGCAAGAATGATGAATGGGATGTGGTTGTGGTATATTTCCCCCCTCCCATGTACCTGTGAAGAAATAGAAGAAGGGCAAAGGCAAAAATTAACAAGGAACATAAAAATAAAAATAAATCTGCAGGATGAAAACTCTCAGCCTCTACGTATTTTTATTATTTATTATTATTATTATTATTATTATTATTATTATTATTATTATTATTCGAAGTAAGAACACAATATTGTGGGATAATTCCCTGAGCATTAAAAAAGGAAAAAAAAAGGTATGCAAAAGAATAGATAAAATGCAGTTTTTTGTTGTTGTTCTCTGGATTGACAAAGGTTGGAGGAAGAAATGTGTGTGTGTGTGTTTTATCCGGTGTTCGGGATTTTCAATAGTTGTTTTAGTGGGTGTCTCTATTTGCTGCTGCATTCACTTATTTTTGTGTTCAAGAGAATGGAGGTAACATCCTTTTCAACTCAATCTATCTTTTTTTTTTCTGTTGTTATTCCTTTTTTTTTTTTTCTTCTGCTTGCATAATTGTGTTTCTGTTTTGTACGTGTGTATATTTGCATTTTCTCTCTATGTGCACGAAATGATGAGAAGGAGAGGATGTGTAACACTCTGCGTTTGTGTTTTGACGTCTTGTGAATGTGCTTTTGGTAATTATTTAAAACAAAGGAATAATAAGGGTAAACCATAAATATATATATATATATGTGTGTCTGTGTTTATTTATTTATTTATTTTTATTTTTATTTATTTTTACTTAACGCAGCCCCAAGAGACATCGAAGATGTGGATTCACATACACACACACGCATAGAGAGAAAGAAAAAGATACGTATACGCAAATATAAATGTACCAATTAAGATACACCTGTGCATGCATAAATTATTATTGTTGTTGTTTTTTTCCTTTTTGTTTACTTTTTTCTTTATATCATATCATTTTCCATTGGTTTTATCTCATTTTCTCTTATTCATTCTCACTGACGTGCTGTCGATTTCGCTTTTCCCCTTTCTTCTACTTCTTTTTTTTTTCCTTTTTATCCCTTTCACACCTACTACATCTCTCATTATCTTTACGTGTCATCTTTTCTTTTTTTTTTTCCTCCCCTTAAGATGAGAGTTGTCTTTATATATATATTTTTTATGCTGTTTCGCTTTCTTCGTATATGTGTGTATGTCTAGAGAAGGACATGCAAGTATCAGTACAGTGCTTAAAAGAATTAAAAAAAAAAAAAAAAAAACCACATAACAGTATCAAACTAGTTTTTATTTTTCTATTTTCTTGATTCTTTTTCCTTACTATGACTGGCGTTGACATAAGTGATAGATCTTGATGGACAACCTGGAAAAGAAAAAAAAAAATAAAACGATAGAAAGGCGTATTTTTTTTCGTTTTGTTTTGTTTTGTTTTCTCTGCAGAGGATTGATAAAATCCCCTATCCATTCACATTTATCTTCTTCCCTTTTTCTTCTTCTTTATTATTACTTTCTGTAAATCCCAGGATTCGATCGTAGTCTTACTGTCCTTTTTTCTTGTAGGATTTATTTCTAATATCTCCACCCACCGTTAACAAGAGAGCTATGCCACCTAAGGCCCGTCCCCCGCTTCCCCCCGGTGATGCCGATAAGGGTGAAAAGATCTTCAAGGGGCGTGCGGCGCAGTGCCACAGTGCCACCAAGGGCGGCGCAAACGGTGTTGGTCCCAATCTCTACGGTATTGTCGGCCGCAAATCTGGAACAATTGAGGGATTTGCATACAGCAAGGCCAACCAGGACTCAGGGGTGATATGGACTCCAGAGGTGCTGGATGTGTATCTTGAGAACCCGAAGAAGTTCATGCCCGGTACGAAGATGTCCTTCGCTGGACTGAAGAAACCACAGGAGCGCGCTGATCTCATCGCCTATCTTGAGAAATTAAATGAATAAAGGTGGGGGGGTAAATCCTTTCCTTTTGATAGGGGAATGTGTTTTTTTGATAACTTAACTTTATGTATGAAACGGTCTTTAATACAAACCGTATTGAGGATACTGGTTATTAAAGAAAAAAAAAAAAAGGAAATATTAGCAAAGTAATAATAGGAATAAAATTAGGATGCGGTGGCGAAAAACAAAAAAGTTGGTGTGCAGCATGTTATTGAGGCAGTCGTAGCCGGAATCCCCTTTGACTAGTAGTAATTCCGTTATTATATTTAATGATAGTCATATGTACCTCTCGTCATAGGGGAAATTCTATGGCTCAAGGAAAAACACTTGTTTTTTTTCCAGCGATTGGGTATTTCACGAACAAAAAAAAAAAAGATAAATCACTTTCAGAGATCATTTGCCAGCTTATTTTTTTTTCCTTGCTTTGTTTCTTTGTTTCACTTGTGATGTTGTTTTCTCTCAACGATTTCTTTCCTCATATTTCATTAAAAACTGTTTAAACTAGGTAGTGCACATGGAGATACACGTTTTGCCCTAAAGTAGAAGGGGGAAGTAGCAAAAGGTACTACAGTATCCATTACTGTATCTCTGGATAATGGCTAGTAAAGATATTTCTCCCCGTAACAACGAAAAGATACCACAAAAAAAATTTGCAACAATAACACACTTACGTCTACCTGTATGGGAAAAAATGAATAAAACCAAATAAATTGTACATGATTAATGCATGTCAAAAATTGCGAAGATAAGGGATTTAATACCGCAAGATAACCATCATCAAAAAACAACTAAGAAGACAAGAAAAAAATCATGTCATCTAGCCAATAAAGTTACTGGGCCTATACAGACAATGAAAAGCTTCGATAGCTAAAATAGTTTCCCCAACAAAAACTATTGTAAAACTCCTTTCTACATTACTCCAGAATAGCACCCTTACTTTCGTTTCAGTGCTTCACGGAGCAGTGGGTGGGTGACTCTGGCGACGTGGCTCGGAGTGGACAGACACTGGGACTGCAGTGGGATGAGGCCTC